TTTTTTCCAAACATTTTGTCACATAACCAAAATACAATTATTGTTTAGATATTAGGAAAAATAAAAAAATCCTGTTGGTATCTTTTCGTTAACTTTATATCAATTTTGAAAAACAATGCTTAACTCAGATTTAATATTATATAAAATTTTGACAGCTAAAATGATACTTATTTGTTAAAGAGTCGGCGAAAGGGGAGAACAAGAATAGACAATGCCGGTTAACTAATCATAATTGAGGAACACTACTCTTTTATTTCGATTAATTCCTTGAGATACGAGTGAATGGAACGCGTGATACGTTATATATAAATTTTTGTTTGTACAATATTTGATTGATTTCATATGAACCATTTTATAATAAATGCACAAGCTAAATAAGTTAATTTTCAATTAGAAGAAGGTTATTACGAAGACTTGATTTTCTCGATTTATTTTTATATCGAAAATTCTCTAGGCATATTGACACCACGAGAATCCATGTGTCATATTCAAAAATTAATTATTGAATGGCTAAATATGAAGACAATCATCCCAAAATTGTAAAAATCCCGAGATAACTTATCGTTATTACAATTACTAGATCGATAACCTTGCACGTGATAGAGATACCGATCGCCCCAACAATCATGATATTGTCAGATAAAAAGGGATAATGTATAAGTGAGGGTAAAATTCTTTATTTGTCCAAAAATCGACCTAAATTGTCAAGAAAAATCTAGTTTCAATCAATGCTCATCATTGAATACAAGAAAAAAAGGTCAAGTTGACTCGAGAGAAAAACACATCTCAAAATCAAAATACAAATATCACAAAAAATAACTTTCAATTTTTTTAAACGCAAATAAATAATTCTGCTTCGGTCGCATCTTTTTTGGAAAGGGTCCTTCGCGTTTATCTAATATCTACGAGATTTCGAATTTCTATCGTTTAATACTGTTTGCCCAAGCTTCAACATTTACTTGCGATTGAGCAGAAGCCCTTACGTATCGATGTTGCTGTCATTCGATATGATTTAAGAAAGGTATCATTGATCGGTGAAGAAAAATAGTGATTAAATGATGCAAGTAATAACGACTGAAAATACATGCATACTAACCAGTAAATCGTGAGGTACCGGCCGTTTATCAACATCTTTGATTAAACTAAATAAATAATCAAAGATTCAATGTTATGTTTAATTATTTTCGAAAATTATACAATCTTCATATAAATCACATAATCTTTGTATCCACTACCATTGCTGTACTAGATTTTCAAAATCTGGTGGAAATTCTCCGGCTGGTAATGCTGGGGGAGGTTCATTGACAATATGTTGCAACAGTTCTAACACAGTCAATTGACTACCATCAGGGGGGAAAGGAAATCTTCCGATAGCTAATTCCATCAAAGTAATACCGAGAGACCAAACATCCGATCTTACAGTATACGGAGAGCCTTGAATACGTTCAGGCTTATGACATCCAAAGTATTAATAGTATTTATAAATTAAATATTCACGTATGACAAATAAAATATATACTCACCGACATGTAATGTGATGTGCCAACAAAAGTATCTGCCACTGAATTAATTAATTCACCAGAAACTCCAAAATCACAAATTTTGATTTGACCTTTTGAATTAACAAGGATGTTGGAAGGTTTTACGTCTAATAAAAAAAAATCAAATAATTATGAGAGATCGATAGGAATTGTGAAGGTATGACGACATACTTGTATTGCTTACCTCTATGAATGATTTGATGACATTGATATAAATAATTAAGACCCTCTAGTACCTTTAAGTAATTAAGTAAAGCATTAATTCAGAAATAGACGATTTGATCCAAATGCATTTGATAAGGAACAAATCAAGAGATCAACTTAATTTTCGCTACAACATACCGAATGTGTAATTTTGCCAAGTATATCTAATGGAATGGCACCGTTTTTTCTATAAATATTATCGAGTGATCTGAAATTTCCGTAAAGAGGTTAATTCTTTCCATATGTAGTTTGATTGATTAAGAGAATTATATGATGTAACAGGCTTGACTCACCCAACATCCATATATTCCATGCACATAGAAGCATCACCATCATTCATAAATGCTCCATAAAATGACACAATATACGGTGATTTGCAGTCGTGAAGAATATGAAGTTCGCGAAGGATTTGTTTACGGACATTTGGTTTGGCATCGATATGTATGATCTGATTATCAAGCATAGTAGAAACATACGACACACATATTTCAGTATGTAATAAAAAAATTATCAACAGGATTTTTTTATTTTTCCTAATATCTAAACAATAATTGTATTTTGGTTATGTGACAAAATGTTTGGAAAAAA